TTGTGAGGAGCAGAAACTATTTTAGCTAAACCAAAAGAGGGCAACTTGTTACAAGGATGTGGGTATTGCATGAAACCCGAGGTGAAAGGACAACTGAGTCTGGACAGACAGGAACTGGAAGGCCATTAGAAACACCCACATCCTCCCCCTGTTACGTTTTTATGCTGTTTTACTCCTCACTCTTTTGCCAGACAAGTGTTTTCTGCGTCTCTACACCATAAAGTGAATGTAACCACCTCAGAATTACAGTCCCAGGGTCCTGCAAGTTTAACCAGCAGCCTTTCAATTCCAAAGTTAAATTACTAGGAGAGTCTGGCATCTGACTGGCTCAACTTGGTGCAGGTGCCTATTCCTGGTCCATCCAACAGGGCCAGGGGAATGGGAATCATTTTGGTATACTACAGGACCTTTGGAGACCTGTCACCATAAAAGAGGAGGGAAAGAGGGACCCTGGAAGTTCCCTGAGAAAGGAATTGCTATGATCTTGGCAAGCACCCCTAAAGATGTCTTAGTTAATATTATTTTCTCTAAGGGAAGTGGCTTTTTGAGTACAGGATGATGGGAAATCATCAAATATGTATCAATGGCTGGAATTTTTTCTAATTTATATACAGTCTACATGTCCCCAGCATGGACCAAAGCTTTTATTTCACAGCTCTCAGGGAATTCTGCGCTACACGTAATTTCCTCTCTCTCTCTGCTATGTTTGATATTTTGAGATGAGGAGTGCGTGTTTTAAAGCTCTTCTGTAACAACTGAGTTGCACAGTGCTCAAGATCATCATTGCAGCCTTGTTTTCTACCACATGGGCACACCCACCCGACTCTGCCACTGTGCAAGCTTCACCCAAATGCCATGCGTACTCATGCATGTCTCTGCTCCCATGTTGTTTCCTTTCGTTTGCCTCACTCTTCTTCCTAAACTTTTGTTTGTACTCTCATTCCCTCCTCTAGAAAGCCCTCTCCCACTTCCATCTGTGGGCCGAGGCAGGCGTCCTTGCTCAGGACTTACTACACTGTGATGAACTCATTCATTTTCTGGTTGATTTATTTCTTCAAGGGGAATGTGACAGTTCAACCTATATCACCAGTGCCTAAAAAGGGCCTACCACCTAGTAGGCCTGTAAGAAAAGGAGCAAATGAAAAAATGAATGAAATGAGCCTCAGTCCTATATAGTGTGGCTTTATATTCTCTAATCTGTCTTATCAACAGCTCTAATGTAGAAGTTAAGAGTACAGGCTCTGAGGCTAGACTTCCTGCGTCCCGCATACCCCATCTCTGTTCAGTTTCCTAGCTGTGCAAACTTGAGCAAGTTTATTGAACCCCTCTGTGCCTCAGTTTCCTCATCTGTAGATGATATAATGATGATACCTACCTCAGGGTCATTACGGGGATTAAATGAGTTAATGCACGTTAAATGCTTAATGTCTGGCACCTAGATAATGATGCATAAGTCTTGGTTATTATCAACCATCTAAATCATCACCAAGAAAACTTTGTAGATCCAGGTGTACATCCTGAGCAATACCTTCCACAGGAGCGTTGGTGCTTTCGGGGTCATTGACCCTGAAGAGAGATTGATGTGGTCTTTGCCTGGTTATGCTTCCATGAGGTGCTCTGAGACATGAGCAACCTAAGGGTATCTTGGGGTTGAGGAATACCTTAGAAGCCCCACCAGTGGATGCTTTCTGTAGTAAGAGAGTGTGTTTATCATATTTAATTTTGATTGTATTTGCTTTTTAACGAATGAGCTTTTTAGAGACAGGTAATGTCTTGTTGGAGTGGTTAGACATGTGGTTTCCTGGAGCTTTAGCATTCTCAGTCTTGGGTTATAGTGAGAAGGTTGGTGACCAGAAACTATCCTTTTAGGAGCCTAGGGCTGGACAGAATTTTTTTGTTGTTGAAACTGACAAGCTGTTCCTGAAATTTATATGAAAAATGCAAAAGATCTAGAATAGCCAAAGCAATTTTAAGAAAAGACCAAAGTTAGAGGACTTTCATTTCCCCATTTTAAACTTTACTGGAAAGCTACAGTCAAGACAGTGTGGTATTGCCTTAAGAATAGACATGTAGATTAATGAAACAGAATTGAGATTACAGAAATAAATCTTTATATTTATTTCAATTGATTTTGGACAACTGTGCCAAGGCAATTAATTGAAGAGTGGATAGTATTACTAACAAATGATGCTGGGACAATTGGGTAGTTACATGCTAAACTCAGATATTTACTTCACACCATATATAAAGACAAACTAAAAATGGATCGTAGACTTAAATGTAAGAGCTAAAACAATGGAACTTTTAGAAGAAAACATAGGAGAAAATCTGTGAAACGTCAAGTTGGGCAAAGATTTCTTAGATGTAACAATAAAAACACAGTCCATAAAAGAAAAAACTAGAAATTGGACCTCATCAAAACTCAAAGTTTTTGCACTTCAAAATACAGAATAAAGCAAATAAAAAGACAATGCAAAACACATATCTGATAAAGAACTTATATCCAGAATATATACTCATATACCTCAACAATAAGTGTACAAAAACCCATTTTAAAAAATGAGCAAAATATTTGAAAAGAAATTTCACCAAAAAAAATATATACGAATGGCTAACAAGCATTTAGAAAGATGGTCAGTGTCATTAGTCAACAGGGAATTGCAAATTTTTTTTTGTACAGATGGTATCTTGCTATGTTCCCCAGGCTGGTCTTCAACTCCTGGACTCAAGTGATCCTCCTGCCTTGGCCTCCCAAAACTCTGGGATTACAAATGTGAGTGAGCCACCAGGCCCAGCTGGAAATGCAAATTAAAACCACAATGAGATACCATTTCACACCCACTAGAATGATTGTACTAAAAAAGGCAAGGAACGAATATTGGCAAGGATGTGAAGAAATGGCAACAGTCATACATGGAAGTGGGAATGTAAAATAAGGCAGCCACTTTGGAAAATAATTTGGCAGTTTCCTAAAAAGTCAAATATGTACTTACCATATGATCCAGCAATTCCACTCCTAGGTATTTGCCCAAGAGAAATGAAAACATATGTCCACACAGACTCGTATGCAAATATTCATACAATTTTATTCATAATATCTAGAAATTGGAAATAATCTAAATGTTCATTAAGAGATCAATGGATAGACAAAATGTGGTATATCCATATAATAAAATATTATTCAGCAAAAAAGAAAAAAGGAACGAATTTCTGATGCATGCCATGACACGGACAGACCTCAAAATCATTATACTAAATCAAAGCTGGACACAGGAGACCCTATATTGTATAATTCTATTTATATGAAATGTCCATAAAAGCAAATCTGTGTAGACAGAATATAGCGATTGCAGTACAGGGGGTGGTAGATGGGGATTAACAGTGAATACAAGAGATCTTATTGGGGTGATGGAAATACTCTTAAACTGCTTTCTGGTGATGGTTGTACAACTTGGTAAATTTACTAAGAATCTGAATTGTCCATTTGCAATGAGTGAATTATATGAAATACAAAATATGCCTCAGTAAAGTGTGTGTGGGGAGAGAGGAGATTGACATTGAGGCAGAGAGAGACAGAGAAGAGAAGGGCTGGAGCCAGACTGTTTGGATCTGAAACCTGGCTCTGCTACTTACTAGATGTGTGACCTCAGGCAAGTCTAACCTCTCTTTGCCTCAGTTTTCTATCAGTAAAATTGGAGAAAATAAGAAGTTACTAACCACAAAGCAGTGTTGGGAAGATTGTGGTAATATGTAAAGAGTGCTCAATTTAGAGTTTGGACCGTAGAAAGAGCTCAATAGATGTTAGCAGTACTTCACCCACCAAGGATCCAGCTCTGATTTAGTTTTAGTTCAAATCTTGGAGAAGGATTTCAGAGGACAACGTCTGGTCCTGTGGAAATGACTCTGGGGAACCCGAGAACCTACAGCACATGATTTGTCAGTCACGTGCAGACTGGGGGATTGGAACATCAGGGCCTCACAGATAAAGGCTGTTTCCTCATGGCAGCAGCATTTACAAAGGCGTCACCTTGCTGCCCATAAATATGGGTGCAGTATGTGATATTTCAACTCCAGTCCAATAAATATTTAAGTTACACTCACTGCCTGCCAGGTCCTGCGGGGGCAAAGGAGAGGTGATTTGGAGGCGTGGAGGAGGGACACCTCACCTGGTCTACGTGGCTTTCTAGAGCATGTGACATCTCAATGTGACTTAAGAATCCCTAGAAATTACCCAGATGAAGAGGAGAGGAGACTCACCCAGAGAGGGGACAACTTAGTAGAGTCCAGAGGCAAAGAGGGAGCTTGCTGAGCTCAGTGCAATGCTGATATAAAAAGCAGAGTGACAAGAAGCAGGTGGCTCAGGGTCCCAGGCAGGGGCCTTGGGTGCCATGATAAAGAATTTTATTTATCCTGAGGACAATAAGGACCCAGTGGAGAGTTCTAAGCAGGTTCTAGATGTCTTCAATTATTTGGTCCCAGTGATATCTCCACATCATACCTGGAGAGAGCCCGCTCTGCTGATCAGGAGCAAATAAATGCCCTCCTAGCTGTTGCGGCCTGGTTTTGTACTCATCCCACATCCCTCCTAGCATCCGGCTGGAAAACTGTTCCATGGCTCCCACGAGGGGAATAAAAGGCTTGGAGTGGTGGCTGAAAGCCTGTCTGCAGGGCCAGACCTCAGAAAAGCAGAGGACTTGTAAATGTTTCATAAACTTCTCTGGGTGCCTGCGCTGGCTGAGAGCCCATTCATAAGCCGGGATCGAGGGGCAGGTATTGTGCCGGTTACTATAGCATCACCTTGGAAAGGCTCTCTCAGAGAGAGCCACCGTGGAGCTGGGCTGGGCTGGGCTGGGCCAGGAGGGGGACGCGGTGGGCAGCGGCAGGAGGGGCTGCAGCTAGGCCGCAGATGCTGTTGCTGGTCTCCGGACTCCTCGTGGGCTGCAGCCCACGTTAGCTGCTCCAGCTGCAGCCCGGGGAGGGAGAGAGGCTGCGCTCAGTCTGAGAGTGGCTGCTGAGACAGCGGCCACAGGCTGCTGCTCCGATTGTAGCTTTTGCAAGGGGCTGAATGCCCAGCCAGACACTCACCCTCTGGCCTCTTTTTTGAGGGGTGGGGAGAGAGGAGGAAGTTGCCTTACCTTGCAAGATCTGGGCCAGCTTTCATCTCTTTTTTGATTTTCAGTAGTTCCCTCCATGAGAACCGACTTCCAGGTGTTCATCAAAGGACACGGAGTGGTCCCCACACTGGAAATGAGGAGGGATGACAGTTTCTGAGACTGACTGTTAACGGCTCAGAGGTGCCCTCCCCATTCAAAATGCCTTTTAAAGCATTTGATACCTTCAAAGAAAAATTTCTGAAACCTGGGAAGGAAGGAGTGAAGAACGCTGTGGGAGATTCCTTGGGGATTTTACAAAGGTAAAGTTTGAATCCAAACTTTAGGTTTATTTCTGAGTAGCCTTGCATTGCCAGTGTGTGAGAGATTTTGTATCATGTTTTTAAAACCACACTTTAATGAGGAGGGGGCGGGTCAGATGAGATGGCTTCTGGAGCCCCTTTTGGCTTCAACAGTCCATGCCTGGAGGAAAAAAAAGGTGCATCAAAAGTATTGTGTTGAATTAGGAAATTATGAAGATGTGTATTCTGTCTATAAAGCAGGATTAGCACTTTGTAGAGACGGTGATGTTGCATATGGTATGTTTGACATTGACTTAGAAAATATTTAGGGAGATGATATTTCATGTTAATATAATAGTAATGACAAATATAGTTATGCTGAGCTGAAATAATTTTTAAATGTTTCTTACTATTTTTCCACTATAAATATTTGTAATTTTTTTAGCTTGTTAAATGAAATATATAAAGAGGTTCCTGATTGTATAGTTTTCAAAGAGAAGGATAGTTACCCAATAGTTTGAAGGAGGTAACTTAAAAAATTAATATTCTTTAAAGCAGAAAATCTCACATGATTGCAGTGGGAAAATATTAAGTACTATCATTGAATTGAATGAGATTTTAGTCCAAAGCAAAAGTGAATATTTTTTAAAATTAAATATAATATTATTGGAAGCAGAGTGTGCCCTAAATGAATGAATTGTGACATTTTAATTTGTGAATTTTATAGACATAGTAAATGCCTGCTCAGGTTTTATAGGTGAGTTAATAAGTGGTCCTTATGTACAAGGCAAAGTGACTTCTTTATTTCTCTGCTATAAATAAATGCAAAAAATATACTTGGTAAGTTTTTTATGTGTTTGAATGAATATTTCTAATCCTGGTGAATGAACATGCCACCTGGTATTTCCTTTTAACTTTTTTATGATATCTCTTATATTTAAAAACTTTTGCATTTAAAGCACTATTTCTAGGCAAACTGAGGTTCATTCCATTTCTTGTGTTTTATAAAACATGTGCCCCTGACAGTGTCAAATTTCCCATTGTATCATTCTCGGTGAGTTTTCACAATAAGAGAACAGGATCGGGCACCTTATTAATTTGGTAATTAAAAACAAAAAGTCTTCGGTCAGATCTACACTGAATTGTCACGTATAGATGAAAACCTAGCTCAGGGACAGCAGCATAAACCAGCCAAATATAGAAAATGATTATAATAACATTTTTAAAGAGAGTGTTTTATCTGTCTGTTGAGCACTCCCCAGGTAACGTCTTATTGTGGTGGCATCATTTGATTAGAAATGCAAAACGGAGGCACAATGGCTTAATTGGCTTACTCAAATGATGACAGAGGAATCTGGCAAAGTTGGGAATAAAAACCATGACTTTGGACTCTATTCACCATTATAATCACCAAACTCTGCTTTAGTTTATAAAATACTTGACAAAACAGTATTTAGGAAATTTAGTTTCAAACTTTAGATTTTTTGAAATTTAATTGCTTTTTTCAATGGGAGACTCATTCTAAGAGCTGGTTTTGCTATCTTTCATTCAATGATCCCTTATGAAGATTTTTTTGTTTACCAAATTAATTTGCTTAGGGATAGAACAAAATCATTAATTGCCAAGTTGTGTGACCTCAACGAAAAATTGAGCTGTATGTCTAGGATTCTTGCAAGAATTTCCTCAGAACAGCTAGAAAAACAGCCTGAGAAAGAGAATCCACTAAATGAATTCTGGATATTGTCATTGTTGTCGTAATTGTAGAATGGCTTTAGAAAAAAAAAAAAAGCCAAACCCAAACCTCTCCTTTCAGTGACCTATAGAGAAAAATTATTGGTAGAGGAAAGAAAAAAAAAGATATTCTTTGAACAGTGATCCACATTGATCCTCAGCATTAGTGGAACTTGAGAATTATTGAGACCAGCTCTGCCATGCGTTTGGTATTAACTGCAGGTTTATAAGATAATTGTATACCAAGTGCCTTGCCCGGAGCCTGGCATATCACCGGCATTTCCCCTTTGCCTAATTGATTTTCACATTAAAAGCAGTTGATGGAATCCAATGTAAAAAAAAAAAAAATCACAAAGAACTGTGTTGTTTTGTAAGGGGCAGGAGCATTTGGAAGTTAGAAGCTCTTGCTTTCTAATGTAGCAGGCAGTGTAAATCATAGCTGTCTAATAGTGTTGGAGTATGAGATCATCATCTAAATGGAATTCTTGAGATGCTTTTTAATCACAGAATGTTCCTCCTGGTCAGAGGAGTGGCAAATGCACAGGGAAGCAATTGAGAGTTTGCACATGGAGCTGATTACAGCCAGGCATTATTAGCCTTCCTGGAAAACAGTCATTGATAAGAAGCAGTTAATCAGCTAAAGGTACAATAATATTTTAGAAGTGTAGGGAGATAGAACATGCACTCACTTACAGTCTAGCATTGGACTGTACAGATCACATAGAAGGCATTAAACTTGGAAATCGATGTCCACAAACTGACATGCAGATTTATTCAACTTAAATTACAATGTGGGTGTGCTCAAATTGCTTCCTCATAAAAAAAAAAAAAATGATAGCAAACACTTAGTATGTTCCAGACACTGTAAACCCATTGAATTCTATTAACAACTCCATGAAGAAGGAACTATTTTAATTATAATTTTACAGGTGACAAAACTGAGGCACAGAGAGGTTAAATCATTTACCCAAGGTCACACAGCTTGTAAAGGACAGAGCTGGGTTTCAAATGAGACGTTCTATGCCCATCGTTCTTAATCATTACGTTATGTTACCTCTCTAATCGGGTGTTTTTCCTTTTCCTGCTTGCTGTCTTGAAATTAAGCCACTCATTTAGTTAGGTTCAGGGGGTTACTTGGACTGCAATGTAGCCAACGGCTTCTGGATGTGATGGCAAGCCGGGGCTATTCTGCTAATGAGTTGTATTATTCAAGGCTTTCCCCAGGGGAGGCTGAGGGCGAGTCTGTTCTCCTTACAAGTGTGTATATCTTCCCTTTGAAGAGATGGAACCAGTCCCCGCGTGGTGTCTGTCCTCGGCACCCAAGGTTGTGTATTAAACGTTCGTACCAGATGTGCGCTTCCTGCTCCATCGACAAAGGCAGGTGTGTTAAGGCATCACCTGAGGTTGGGCGTCCCTGGGTTCTGATTGTCCTTTATTCCCCCGCCTGCATGACCTCAGGCAGCTTGGCTGCAAGAGGTGATTCCATCAAACCAAACCGGATCAAGTCTCACCCCTGCTCCATACCACCTCACCCACAGTTAAAGCCAGTGCCCTTTGAATGGCCTTCAAGGCCCTGTATGGTCGGTAGGACCTTGAGAAGTCTCTCTGACTTCATCTCCGACATTCCTTTCCTGCCTCCCTCCAATCTGGACTCACCGGCCTCCTTGCTCTTGTTGGGAACTCACCAGACCCCCTCCTGTCCCCGATTTGGCACCGTCTCCTTCTTTTGCCTTAAGGCCTTTCTCCCAAGTCGCCTGCTGACTCATCCCTCACTTTCTTCAAGTCTCTGCTCAAAGGTCTCCTCCCCAGGGAGGACTTTCCTGGTCGTCCTATTTAAACATGAAGCTCACGTTCCCTCCTCCTGCCCTCTTCCCTTCCCTCTTTCCTGCTTTATTTTATCACTCCTCTGTCTTACGCAGGGTTCCCTAAAAGCAGAGCCTGAGGCAGGGATTTGGGAGCAAGCCTAGAATGTGACTTATTGAGGGAGAGCGCGTCCTCATAAAACAGGAGGGAGGGCGTAAAGCAAGGTAGGAGAGGAGAAAGAACCAGGCAAGGATGCCACCTCCAGGAATGCACAAGGGGAGGCCCTGGAGCATGAAAAATAGAGTCTTCCCATCCAGGCAGGTGGGGCCAGCCTTTTATACTTCTGCATCAGTCACTGGCCTTGGGCTGCTCCGGCAGTGGTAGAGGGTTTAACTGGAGGCCACTTAGCAGTGGGAATGTCTCCTGGGTTCCTCATGCCAAGACCAGAAGGCAAAGCAAGGCATCATCACAGTGGCACAGGTCATCGATCCTGGTCTGCAGGAGGAATTAGGACTGTTGCTTCACTGTGGGGGCAGGAAGAAATGTTACCCCTCCCACCATGTGACTCCTTGCCTTGCCTTCTGGTCTTGGCATCAGGACCCCAAAGTGACTGGGCAGCACCATATATTGAATGGGACTTCAAAGATGTTCCCAAATAGAAGAATTCTTCCATATGAGTCAGGACTCCTAGACCCACAGAGCCTAAAATTGAAGAGATGAGGCACTCCTCAAGTGGGTTACTGGGATTGGTGGCAGGTGGGACCATGCCTTCTCCCAGCTCGTGTTTCTCAGACCTGTCTATTGTGCCTATCGGGGACATGGCGCCATGTAATAGCTGTTGGTTTATGGAGTACACCACATCCTGGAGGATCACACGTTATTCTCAGAGATTCTTCTCCAAGCTGCTGCCTCAGCTGCATCTCTGAGTCTTCTTCAGCTCTGGCATGCCGTCGGCTTCCTGATGGTGTGGTTTGTGGTAGGGCCAGGGGACCCCACCGTCACGGGTCCACTGCTGTGCCGTCTTTGCCACCCACTGAGGGTGTCGGTCTGAGGCAATGTTATGTGAGATCCCATGTTGGCCAGTCAGACACTGTGAGACCTCAGATAGATGTCACACGGAGACTTGCAGGCTGAAAAGGCAAACATAGAATATGTGTCAGCCCCAGGCAGGATGAATTATTACCTTTTCCAGGGTGGAAAGGCTCTGATATAAACAAGTTGTGACCCAGAGGCTGGTTCGTCTCCTCAGGGCTTGTGCCATAGCACCGGTGTGTGCTGACAGCCGTGGCGAGATTACTGTTGGTGAGTGGGAGCCTCTATCCCCGCTGCCATGGTTACTCCACCCTTGAGTCCACTGCTCTAGCACTGTGTGGCCGAGGACAGAAGCTGGCTAGCATCGACTGGCCAGGTCAGACCGTCCATTGGCTGTCTAGTGCCTCTTCCAAGCAGAAGCTCTCTGGTCTGTATTCATGTGCAATCTAGAGATC